TTTCAAATGGTAAAAAAGGAGACACAAAGTTAAATTTTTTACACCTGACGTGTAAAACGTGTGGTGTAATCATCCATAATATATTTTTATGTTCTCCAAAGTATCCTTCCATGTTTTTAATATTGATATATCTCATGTTTTTCGTTTTGTGTGTAATACAATAAAGAAAATACTCATTTTGTCCACTTGAAAAACATGTTTTTAAATTTTCGTAATTTCATAACTTTGACCCTTTGCGGGTCAGAAAATTTTAATCCAAAAATTGTGATCCTTTTATACATATCATCAATGAAATAAATTACTTTATCTTAAAATTTTTCAAAAAAAAAAACATTTTTGATTAAAAACTACTTTGTTTAAGAAATAATCACTTTTACACTTTTAGTTGTTAACGTTGTCAAAAATAAATACAGCAGTTTTTATCCCGCTTCCCTTGAAAGGGTTGTTTGAAATATCAGATCTAAATGTAATAATTTATAATTAAGGCATGTCAGGCAGTTATTTATATTTTTAATTGCACTTGGTGCCGACCGGCCTGTGCAGGGGACAGGGAACTGTCCTTGCATCAGAAAGGTCCTGGGTTCGAATCCCGGGTAAGGCATGGATGTTTCTTTCTCTCTCTGTGTGTTCAATGTACTTTCTTCCTTGTGTGTGAATGTGAACAGCCCTATAAACGGGTTGTGGTTGTGTGAATGGCTTGGCTGAAAACAAATTCCTGGCCATAAATGGCGCTACTGAAAAACAGGAACAATCGCACCCCCACTGCCTAAACAGGCATACGACAAAAAAAAAAATTGTACTTGGTCACAATTTAATGCTAATTTTTTTTCCTATTGAAATGTTATTTACTGATTTCTTATTTACAACTGTATATTAGTATTACTCCATTTTTCACAAGAATTCTAAGTATAAACGCGGACGTACTGAACATCTCATAAAAAAACAAAATCAAAATTTCAGAAACTGGTAATTCTCTAAGATAGCTGTTTAGTATATAACTAAAAAATAAAATGATTTCTAAGTTATAACGCTTCCGAGAAAATTAGAGGCACTCAAAAGAAGAATTGAGTTCAGATAGTGAATTCACGCCGGTTAATCAGCAAGTATTTAATCAAATGATCTCTGTGTGCGATAAAATCAAAAGAGCGCTTCAGTGTTAATGTTAAAAGCAGCAGCACAAAGGCAGCGCACTGAAATGGGGGGGGGGNTACTGAAATGGGGGGGGGGGGGAAGCTGACTTTAACGTTAATGAATCCACACGAAATTGCGAGTAAATTAAGAGGAAGGAAAAGCAGAGGCAAGAATTAAGGCTTTAAATGGACTAAGTTTACTATCTACAAAAGGTAAATAGCGCGTAACTATACACCTTAAACATGAAATGTCCTTATCACTAAACTAGCTTTTATAGCTTCATAAAATGCGATAGAAATATTGCTTTGGTTACTAAAATGCGGTTGTTAAGTTAGGTAATTTAGTCATTCTAGTAACTATAATTGACCATAATGCCACTTTAAGTGCATGTTGACGTAAATATAATTTTGTCGCCAATTTTTTTGCCTCTTCCCTTTTTCTCCTAAACCTATTAATACAGCACTGCTACCGATATTATTAAAATAAATATGAATACTTTACTTTCCAAGAAAGGAAAATATTAATTTGATTACAAAAAAAGCAGCAGTAAGATTTGATTAAAAAAGGCAGAGAAATATTCAAATACGTTGATTAAAGTCAACTAAGATTTGATTTTTAAAAAAAACAGCAGAAGTAATTTCACGTAGGATGATTAAATTCAAATGCAAATAAAACTTGCAGATTTAATTATACACATAATTATCACAAATCAAGTGTGTTAATCAACGATTCAATGAAACTAACAAATTAGTTAATCAACAAATCTAATTATTAGAGAGGGATAGTTTATTCTGACTGAAGTTAGATTTGTTAATCTAGCAATACCCAATCAGCAATTTTCTGTCTTATTTTATGTCTAATCAAGGCAAAACTTCGGATCAAAACGTAAGAATGCATTTCAGCCTACTAAACTGCGTAGTTAACTTGAATTAATCTGTTGAAACTTTATCAGCAGAAAGCACATTGCAAAGAAGTTTATTTTCTCGTAAGTGAAGAAATCAGTTTGAGAGATGTGTGAGGTCACATAGACGGTAGATCCGAAAATGAAAGAACAAAGGAAGAAAATTTTAAAAATCCCTTTATATTAATTTACATAAATATTATTATCGAATCTTTTAATTAAAATAATTAACAATTGTTTCAAACGAATATAGATTATATAAGCTCTTTATCTTCATTCTAGTCGTAATTCATGTCACATTGAAAAAAATAGTTATTATAAGCTTATGATCTGTTTTTAGAATTACCCATTAAGTGGAATCATTGGCACTAATAGGTAACTCAGATTGCATCTTTATATTTTCTTCGTTTATAATTGCAATTATTTTTGTCGCCAGTAATTCATCAAAATTCCTTCATCATACTATGCATTTAGGACTAAGGTTAGGTACGTTTTCCAGTATGAACAATTTATTACACAAAGGAAGGTTATCATCACTGTTTTAGAGCGTTATTGTACCGAATGCGGGGATGAGTGCCGGATAACAGTTGCAGTTGGCAACTAATTAAAGCCAATCCAATGCATCTATGTACTCATTTAACATCCCGCTGAACGTTGGTGCCACTGGCAATGTGTGTGTGGCATAGTCTCCGTCATCAATCGCATCCGGGAGGGAGATTAGGCCTTATCGATTATTTCCATGTTCCGGATTCTGGATTGTATTCCGAGTTCCGGGGCAAGAGAAGGCTTTTGGAAATGATCTCGGCCACTGTTTCTGGTGTGGATAGGGGGCTGCTATTAGCTTGTCGACATGGCAAAGGAAGTCTGATCAATGGACTTCATCCCGTGATGGATGATACAATTATATACTGCAGTACAGACTTCACACAGATATCGCTACAATCTAGACCGATATATCCCCGTTTTGATCACAAGGCAAACGTGATTAAAAACCCTCCTTAATACCATTTAATTAAACCATAGTTAACTACATTATATCATAACTGGAAATATTTATCAATGATACCATTTAAATTTCAACATTTGCATCATTCCATTACAATGTTCCATGGATTTTTTTTTACTTTATTATCATTGAAGGTATAAAGCTGATGCTTTTAGAATTTACGGTCATTAATGTTCAAGACCGTAGTCATGCAGCTTTGAACTTCACCCAGAAAACAAGTTAACTCAAGCATTGGTGAAAATTCACCCCACTGGAGGATCATTTTATAAGACTTAACCGTATTCGTATGACGAGAAGAATTAAATCGTGAAAATCTTTTATGATTAGCCTTGCGACAAGTGGATTCTTACCCATGATCTTAAACTAATGAGGATATTTTACTCTAGCAATGTGGTCAGTGCGAATTGAAAGCAATATGCGAATCAACCAACCATTTGTGGTAATCAGACCTAGTTCGGAGGGTAACCCTGAGCCATCGTGGCTCTATTTTATGTAGTGAAACTTAATAAGTAGATCACATCTGTATGAAGAAATCTGTCTAAGTTGATCAAAGTTCCAAGAAGACAAAACCAATTAAATTCGCCTTTTATAAGTTGACTTGCGAAAATGGATAATCAAATTGTTGTCCAAAGGTCAATTTATGCAGTTTTTACAGAATATAACAATATTTCAATGTGTAATGCGGTCTAAAACGCCCTACTGATACGTCTAGTATAAATACATAATTAAACATGATTATCTAAAGTAACCCCCATTTTCTTGAGTGTAGCTTGGTTACAAAGTGATCACGATCTCAAGTAAGTGTCCTTCTCATGCGTGTAGCACATTATCTAAATGATCATGATCTATACGAAACACCCTTCTCCTTTATGTAAAAATTGCATTTAAGTGATCATAGTCAAAAGTAAACGTCTTACTGTTATATGTAGTTCAGTATATGAGAAAACATGATCATCTAAATTAAACGACTTTATTTTGCACTTATTATAGCTAATCACATGACTATCTAAAGTAAATATCCTTCTCTGCATATAATATGGCATATAAGTTATAAGTTCTTTCTCTTACGTGTAGTACAGTAGTATATAAATGAACTCAGATGTGTACAGTAAACAGTCTTTTCCTAAGGGTAGTAAAGTAAATATGATTTCTCCTATGTGCTGCACTGTAGTAGATAAATAAACATGATGTATGACAGTGGTAAACCTTCTCTTACAGTGCATAAGTAGACACACATATTGTTACGAATTTATAATTTTGTGAAAAAATTTTTGTATTAAGGTTAAATATCTCAAACGAATCCTAAATAAACAGTTTAATTGGAAAATTTGCAAGAAAGTTGTATAATTTAGAGATAATTTAGAGATAACTCCTATTATATTTTATTTCTTAAGGAAGATTCGATTTGCCGACATTTTTGCTGACTTGGCGATACTTGAAGACAAAATGATAGGCATGGAAAGTTCGAGTTTCAAAGCCATTGGACTAATATCTACGAAATTGGATTAATATATACGAGAATTGCATAGAATCATGTCGAAAGTTCCGTGGTTTTGTCACCAAGACTTCATAAATAGGAGTGTGACTCGCAGAGGAGATTAGTATAGATTGTTAATCTATGACTGCAATAGTGTTCTGATTTCTATCTCTTGAACCATCTAAGGTTGTAAAGCCAGTGTACTACACTTCTATTTCAGCTGTTATTGAGTGTTAGAAATAGCTGTTTCTTCTGGAAGATTCTGCTAAAAAAAATTTGAAGTCTTGATGACTGTTATCATTCATCTTCAATCGAAACGAATCTCTATACTTGGTATAATACCTAAAGAAAACCTTCTCATTCATTTGGTCCAATTAACGGGATCTAAATTAAACGCTTTTTTCCTATGGGCAGTACATGATGAATGAGAATGGTAAACCAGCTTTTCTTACAACTAGGAGAGTGAGTGAATGAGTTCAACCTACCAACTACAGTGAGAATAACATCGAAGTTTCTCGTCCTTGCTTTTTTAAAATCGACTCTGCATCTATATTGTCCTTCGTCCTCTTCCATCAACGGCTTCAGACGAAGGGTTGAAGGTCGATGTGTTATACTCAGGTAAGCTCTACCATCTAAGAGATCGCTCGCCGCATGCCTAGCTTGGTCTAGGTGACCTCTTCGCGCGTCTAAACTGTAGAGGGGTGTCGTGGACTCATCCTTGTACCACAGGACTAGGGCTACTGAATCGTCAGGAGTTGGGGCAGTGATGTTACAAGGCAAATCCATCGCCGAACCAGATACTCCCACCAATGCAACTGGTGGCTCTGCCAAAATAAAAAAAAATATTAGTATTTATTTTTTGGAATGAAAAAAAATATCGTAAAAACTTAACCTATCGTTTTGAATTTAGAGTGGAAACTAATTTTTGTATTATCAAAATACGCAATAGAATTGCAATTGTATAAATTTTCGGTTATATTTTTTAGAGTTAATTTAATTCTATCAGTTTTCAAAAATAAATTCATCAGTTTTAATTTTAGTCATTCCCATTTGATTAATTATTTTCATATCTATCAATGCCGCAGGTAATCTAGTTTTATTTAATATTCTTTGAAATCTAATTTTTCAGAAGCATCATTTTTGATGTTCGGGAAATTCGATATTGAAATATTGTTTTTACTTGTAGGGACTACTTTTCTAATTTATTAACACGAACAAATATTTTATTCTAATAAATTTCAGCTAAATAAATTTTCCTTTCTATTCCAGTTTTAAAAATATAGTTTGAAAAATGCTGTTTCTCAAATTGCATTGCAAAAAAAAGGTTTTAAAGCCTTTCGTACAAATGAGATTTCAAAACTGTAGCAAATGGAAAGCAATTGCATAAGTAAATTAAAAAAAAAAGAATGCTAAAGTTGTTAATTAATTTAGGATGTATGAAAAAAAGAAATGTAAACAAAGAGATGTTAAATGTTGTAGAAATTAAAGATAAAAGGCAGAGACAGAGTGATTGGTGGGAGAGCCCAGTTTTATAAAGTAAGAGTTTTTAAAGAGTCAAGTAAAGTAGAATATATAAAGTTATGTAAAAGGTATAAAACTGCTGAAAAGGACAAGACAGACAGACACACAAACACACATAGAGCAGACACACAACACGGAAAGAAATATACCCTTCCAAAGTTATTTTCGACAAAACATTTTTGAAGAAATACTTTGTAAAAAGAATAATTCTTTTTTATTTTTGACACTGAAAAATAATTTTGTTACCAAATTAGTTTTAATTAAATATTTTTTAAGAGCACAAGTTAATTTTTGTTGCAACGCCTTGAACGTTATGCTATTTATTGAAATGGAATAAATAAAAAAAAGGATATTTCTTGTAAGCAAAATAGATTAGAAAAAAGTTACAAAAATATGCTTTTCAACAAAAGAGGCCAGCCAAACTTATTTTATTTTGGAAATATTTTAAAAAGGTTTAATATCAGCACCAAAGTTATTCAATGCATATTAATCCAAAATCATATTTTTTCAACCTTTTCCAGAAAGCACATTTATTATTTAATTTTCTTAAAAATAATTCGTTTCTCCTTTATTAATTCGAAATTACGCTTGATGCTGTTACTTATACAAAAATATTTTCTTTTGTGTGTCTTAATTATACAATGTCTTAATGTTTCTTTGAAATAAATAAATAAAATAAAATGTCCCATAAGGGATGTTTGAAATAAGTCTTATTTATATAATGTGTATATGAATGAAGAGCTAATATTTATAGCAATTTAATTAAGCACCAGTAAAGTGAGTAAAAAACACTGGAAAAAAACTTTATAAAATGCTTCGAACCCTAAATAAATATTATATTTAAAAAAAGGTAATGAAACAATGAATGTTTAGGTTTGTATAGGAATGTTTATCAATATTTTAATATTAATCCTGAAGATGTAGATGAAATTTAGTAAGAGTAATTTACATGTGAACAAAAAGAAAGAAGAAAAAAATACAATCCGTAACTTTTAACTGAAAAAATTGCTTTTAGCACGAAGTTTGAAATAATTTTGTGTGTGATTATTTATACCCTTTGGTGATTTCTATTTATATACTATAACATCAAATTTGAGCTGTATAAACTCTGCCTGAGCAATGGACAAAATTGTTCCACGCTGCTATGTTCCTCACTGCTTTTCCATTGAATATAACCTTGCAAATAAAGCGCCTCAAGGTTGCACGATTTACCCACTCTTCATACTTTTCTCCTCTCTGTTACCATAGTTTTATTTACTATAGTATGCTTCAGTTTTACTGAAACCACGACAACGAAGAGGGGGGAAATGTGAAGAGTGGAAAAATCGCGTAACCTTAAGACGCCTAGTCTAATCTCTATGTGTATAACGAGGGGGAGTTTTATATGCAGGAATGTCTTGATAGGTTACTAATTATTTATCAAAAAGGTAACACTTGATAGGTTCCTAATTATTTATCCAAAAGAATGCTATTTTATTTTAGATTAATTTGGCATCACTTGTATACGTTGGGTCAAACTCCATTACAGAGAGAAAGATTTGACACAGTTTAAAAATGTGTGAATTTTTTTTTACAAATCACAATTTAAATACTTTATAATTCATAGACGAATACTCCGTTTCATGATTCACAAAAATCGGGAAGAAAACTGTAGAATTTTGTCTACATAATGAAAAATCGTTTTATTGATAGTGGTATAAGAATCACAAGTTTACTCTACTCTTTCCCTTATGACAATTCATGTATATAAAAATGAATCACTCTTCCGAAAATAGAAATGTTATTCTACTCTATTTTACTTAAAAGCTTAACGTTAACCGTCTGACGTTCCATTAAGTGCGAATAACGTCCAGAATAGGAATGTTATTCTACGCTATTTTACTGTAAAACTTAGCGTTAACCGTCCGACGTTCCATTAAGTGCGAATAACGTCTAGAATAGAAATGTTATTCTTTTTTACTTTAAAACTTGACGTTCCATTAAGTGTGAATAACGCCCAGAATTTTACATTCATTATGAAAAATGGTTTCATTACAAGTGGGACAACGATCACCAATTTCCGTTTCTATTTCATTTATGATAATTAATTAATAAAAAAAGTTAAATATTAATTAATGTTAATATATTGGGAAGGATTTAACATTTATGTATCACAAAAAATAATAACAATTATACTGTTGTTTTCCACAATAACACTGTTACTCTACTTAATTTTACGTTAAACTTAGTATAAACCATCTGACGTTTTATTAAGTGTGGAAAACTTCTAGAATTTTTCATTCATCATGAAAAATAGTTTCATTAACAAGTGGGACAGCAAATCGCCAGTTTCTGATTGTGTTCCACTTATAATTCATACAAAAAAAAAAAGAAAAAAACTGTTAAATATTTCTGGAAGACAAAAATAACAGTTGTATTGTTGTTCTCCACAGCGCACAGTCACTCTAAGCAATTTTATGCTGAAACTTAATGTTAACCGCCTAACGTTTTATTAAGAGCGGAAAAACCTTAGAATTTTGTATTCATTATAAAAAAGGATTTCATTAGAGCAAGGACAAAAATCCCATGATTCTTTTCCTGTCTTACTCATGATAATTCATATTCTTGAAAAATAAAACTGATGAGTGATTATCCCGAAAGAAAACTGTTACTCTAAGCAGTTTTTCGTTAAATTTTACAGAATTTTAAACGTAACATTCCGTGTCTCTTACCTTTCTTTTACGTTTTATTCTGGAAACAAAAACAGAAAATGTCATTTAAAAGTGGACAATAAAATAATTATTGGTATAAAGAAATAATAATGCTGTAAATGAAAAAGAGAAACAATAGGTCGTAAATAGTTTATTAAATAAAAAAATAGATCTGAATAAACATTGTTAGGACTGGTTTTCGGCAACAGGATGTCATTAACAGTATTCCACTGGCTTGCTATAAAAAGCTTAATGAAATAGTTAAACGCAGTATTATTAGCATTTTTGAAGTTTTTTACATTTAAATTAATTCTTTTTGTGAATATGACAAGCAATTCAATGAAGAAAAAAATTTGGCCCTTCTAAATTATTTTTACGAGAAAGAAAACATAATTCTTCAACGATTAGAAGTCCTATGGTTCAATATAAAGTCGAACGAATTTTACACGCATTTTATAATCGAGTGAGAAATTTAGTGATATACCATTTTAAGTTCATACGTGTCATTTTTAATTAAAACTTTCTTTAGTGTTGCTTCTGGGTAAGTATTCTATAGGTATCTTGAATAACAACTATATGTAACAGCTTAATACAGGAAAAAAAACTTATTTTCTACATGGAAATCGTAGTGCTTTTCACCAAAAATTGCCCTTCATACAATTTCGAAATGTGGTTAATCATAATAATATAGTTCCAATCCAGGGTGCGTGTTTTTTTGATTTTTTAAAAAAAAGGAAAAAGAAAAATCGGATTTTTTTTTATCTAAATCGGATTTTTTTTTTTTGATTTTTACTCAAATACACTGTAAGAAATTTAATTTATGATTAAAAATACTTTATAAATGTTTAGTCAAAATTAAATTAACGTTAAAACTATATTACAACAATATTTTAAGAGCTCTAACATACTAAATTAATTTTTCGTTATAATACATAGCTTTGAATGCATGGCAACCATTTTGGAACAAATGCATGATTGAAATTTAAAGACTAGATGAAATAGAGAATTTAAAGAGTACTTCAGGGATCTGTTTAGGTTTTTCTGAGAGTCACCTATTTCATGAAAATTTAGACATAATTTGTGAAAATAAAAAATTTTATTAAAAAATCAACACAAAAATATTGTAAAAATATGAATATATCGTTTCTTACGAGACGCAAAAATAAAATTTTAAGAAAAAATATTTTGTGAAATTATTCTTCAGCTTTCCCTAAAGTTGAATTTATGAAGGTACCGCTAAACGCTAAATTTAACTATACTATTAAAGCAAAGTTTCAATTAGCAAACCATAATTTTAAGCTAAAATTGTGATTTCTTTTTTTTTCTCTTGATTTTTAAAATGACAAAATAAATGTAACAGATTGTGTTGATGAATGTAGTATTTCATCAAAAAATAAATAAATATTAAATCTATATGTTTTTATATTAAAATATTCATTTTTAATCCTACATCAATAAAATATAATGTAGCTTTTAATTCCATGATTTTTCAATCAAAAGGTAGAATTTTAATTAACATTACTTGCATTTTTTTCAAATAAAAATCATGTTTATTAATTACTTTCTACAGCTATGCAAGTCTATATTAAGACAGCATTAAATGTTTACGTTAA